GGCTGCAGATGTGCAGAAGCTCAGGGACAGAGTTCTGGTAGTCAGCATTAAACTCATGCCTCCAAAGTATCTCAGCCTCTCTCATACAGAAGTCTTCAATGCTAGAACCCAGGACTCTCCACAGTGTACCATTTTAAAGACATATGAGTGTCGTGGTGCACACCTGTAACCCCAGCACTCCAGCGGTAGAAGCAGGAGGATCAGAAGTTCAAGGTTGTTATTTTTCAACTACATATTGAATAGGAAGCCAGCCTGTCTTTAATATTTGTGTGTGTTTGTGGGGGGGGGGGTCCTGGTAAGATCAGAAAGTGTGAATGCAACTGAAGATGACCAATGGCGCATCTGCAGAACAACCCCTCCCTCTCTGCCTACCTTAGGATAGTCTACCTCTTTCCTGTAGTGGGCAATAAAACATGCAAGCAAAGCCAAACCATCTGAAAGCAGAACATCCCTGGGGGGAAATCCCAAGGTAACCATCTTCCTCTACATGATACGGGGTGGTATGCCTCCTTGACAAACAGAGTCTGCCATGCAAACATGGAAATGCCCCCCTCCCACAACAGCTGATGAATCAGAAAATGGACTTTGATCCCTGGAAGTACTAAGTGTGGGACAGAACCATAACGGACTGTGGTAGTTGCTACATGGCCTTTGTGTGTGTGTGTGTGTGTGTGTGTGTGTGTGTGTGTGTGTGTGTGTGTGTGATAGAGCATGTGACTGAGTCATGTGACCTTCGGGGTGAGGGGAGCTTGCCCCATGTAAGGGAGGAATCACAGTATGAAGAGACATGCAGACACTGTCCTCTTCAGTAGCCTCTGTTGGAAAAGTGGGAAGTTGAGGGGATGAGATTAAGTAGCTGGCTAATCCTTCTTACAGCTTGCAGAACTTAAGGCAAAGGGTGTAAATTATATCGATGCTAAAGAGCTCTTCCAAGGATCCAAAAACACAGAACCCTTGGGGAGAATCAGAGAGTGAGGAGGAAGAGAACGTGATAGAAACTATAGAAGATATCCTTGTTTGAGCTTTAAGAGAGAATGGTGAATTCATGATTCAGCATGCACATGGGGACATTAATAAAGGCCCGGTACGGGAAACTGTGGTAATGAGGGAATACTGTGTCTGAACTGCATGAACTAGGGAAGCCTCTATACCTACAATGAAAGTTTGGACCTGAGCTGGGCAAGACAGTGCAAAGGGGTGAGACCCATTGGGGTGAGGAGTCACACAGTGACCCCACGGAAGCAGCCGCACCTTGAGATGAAGCAGTGAGATGGTTCACGGAGAATGGCTGTGGATTATGGAGGGGTTCATGGAGTGGGGTCTCCCCCACACAGCAGCACTGCACTACACACAACTGTAATCGTTGATGTTGACGGTTGCATTAATAACATCTGGAGCCACCAAACTGGCCTCTGGGGTCCTGAGCCCCAGCAGTCCCCCTGCTGTGTTTCCTGAATGCACGCACACACAGCTGGACCAGCTGCCTCCCATTCCTGTTGCCATGTCTTCCCGGCCACGATGGACTGTGTCTTCTCAAACTGTGAGCCACAGGAAATGTCTCCTTCCTCAAGTTGCTTCTTGTTGAGTGTTTGGTTACATCAACTTTGTTCCCAACATCGTTCTTTTGAAGAAACAATTGATATGTAATAGAATTTGGGGGATTGGGGGGGGCTTGCTAATGTTTCTTTTTAAGCATTCCTTTAGTTGTCTAAGATCAACTGGTACTTGCTTGGAGTGGATGAGGGTGGGCCTTGAGAGGTCCTGCCTACCCTCTGTAAAAGGGTTGTTTATGTAATGCTAAGCCTGGCATGTCTCGGAGATCTCTAAAAGCATCTGAAAGAATGGTATAGACAGAAGTTTAGGACTTTACAGGAATGCATTCTTCACTAATACTACTTTCAGTTCTTTGAAGAGCAATGCATCACACTTCAGAAACGATCATTGTAGCCAGAAATCACTTGCTTGGTCTTGGGCTTTTCCTGAGAGCTTGCTTAGAGATTCTAACAGGGGAGCACAGCTGTGACTACCACAGAACCTGGTGTTGAAGTCCCCAGGCCATGACACCACCCGCTGGCTGGGTCCTTCTCACGCCATGGCGCCTTCTCTTCCTCAGCAATGCACAGGGCTCAGGCCCTCTTTCCCCAGCCCAGCCCTTTCCTGGGCCTCTCCAGTTCTCCCCTTAGACCAGACCACACCTAGAGCACCCTTTCTTCCTCGCAGATCTGCTGAAAAACAGGCCTTCACCAATGCTCCTTACTGTGCACCTCAGAGCACGCCATTAGTGACCTGTTCTCGTAACTGAGATGAAGATGTGCTCAAGAGACATTTGTGTCTCTCCCTTTGGCTATCAGACTCTTTTTTTTTTTTTTTTGAGACAGGGTTTCTCTGTGTAACAGCCCTGACTGTCCTAGATCTTGCTCTGTAGACCAGGCTGGCCTCGAACCCACAGAGATGCCCCTGCCTCTGCCTCCCGAGTTCTGGGATTAAAGGTGTGCGCCACCACACCTGGCTTGGCTATCTGACTATGGAAGCAGTGATCCCCAAGAAACCAGAGTTGCTCCAGGACTGCCATCACGGGGAGGAAAGATGCTGAAGCCTGGGGTGAGCCAGGAGAAGGGCTCGTTCCCAGGAAGGGATGTCACATGATTCTGACAGCTGTCAGGCTACCTTGCTGCAGAGACTGGAACTGAGACTGGGACAGGGGAGTGGCGGGCAGCACCACACCCTGCCAGGGACCTCTTACCCATGCGTTCCTCTTGCCTTCTTTTAAACCTGAACTTCATGTCAGGACCTGAGGGTATATTGGGGTGGGAGACAACGTAGCCACTGACAGGACCCCTGCTTCTCTTCCCGGTGTGACCACACTGAATAACTGTCCTTCCTCTGTCTTTCATTATTACTTGTCTATTTAACTGGCCCATTGAGGAGGTGGCTGACAGAGCCGTGGCCCTCGCTCAAACAGCTCCGATAACATCCTGTCCACTCCACCTCCAGGAAGCCCTGACCCTGCCTCCCAACTCCATGCCCTCAGCCTCCCTGGCTGCTGGCCTCCTGCTTGGCTTCCCAGTCTCCTCACAGCCCTCTCTGCGCAGCACCAATGGGTGCCTTTACAAAGGATGCTACTCCAGGTCTCCTTTGGAGTCTCCCCGCAGCCCTCCTTCTGCTCTTGCCTGCCACTGCCCAGGGGAGAGGTGACAAGGAGGGTCCTGAGGGGTGTGAGCAGAGAAGGGGTATCCCTGCAGTCTGGCTCCAAGGTCTGGTGGGGGTTCCAGGATCCAAGCATGAAGACCTGCCCCGCCTCACCGAGGCAATGGGCACAGAGCATGTGACATGGTGCTAAAGAACCCCACAGTTCCTAGGACAAGAAGAGACCTACCCACTCCCAAGTCTGAGTCAGATGTGTGTTCCTCCCGGACAAGCCTGGCTAGGATCTCTGTGTGTACGAGGGAAGGAAGCCAAGCCTGGAACTGTGGTGGACAGGGTCATCTCACAGCGACATAAAACACACCAACAGGGAAATGCTTGAAGGCAAAAACCGAAGAGAGCCACCAAAATGTTCAAAGAGGGCATCACTGCTGCTGAGGTTCCCCGCGTCTAGGGCTTTCTCTGTTCTCTAGGATGAGCAATAGTACCCAGAGCAGAAAGGAGCTCCCTGTTCCCTGTGACCCCATGGCCAGCAGATCTCCTGATCTCTGTTCCCACCACCAAAAACCTTCCGGAAGGTTTTCTTCTTGCTGGCTGCCCATGACCGACCAATCCAGAGAGGGCTGAGGAATCCAGACTTAAGAGGTGCCTCATGTGTCTGCTCGGGATCCCACTTCCAGCTTAAGATATAGTTGGGTGCCTGTTTTTCTTTCAAAGCTGAGGACTGAGCATGGAGAGGCAAGAACATGGTAAGGATTTCTGCCAGGAAACCGGGGGCAGGGGGCAAGCTGAGGGGCACACAGAAGTGACCAGAGCAGTCTGTGGGAAGACCTTTACCACCTTCCTGGGGTGGGTCAGGTCCTTGTACTGCACCACATAAAGCAGCAGTCTTCACGATGGGGGAGTACCCAGAGCTGAGGCTGGGGAGGAAGCATTGGGAAGCCGGAGGGCAGAACTGATCTCATTCCATGACAGGATACACACTGTTTCCCAATCCAGGGCTGCCCTAGGACTCCCAGCCACAGCTTCAGCGGTCAGCAGCAGTGTGTCCCTGAGGCAGGACACTGTCCTGTGCCTCAAGGGATCTTCAGGCCATGAGCCCACAGTACTGGGTGTTGCCCTGACTCCCAGGACCCTTTACCAAATGCTGCAAAAGGGAAAGGCTCCCCAGGAGCCCCAGTGTAGCGAGGTATGGGGCAGAAAAAGCACCCCTGCCAGCTCTTGGCTATGCCTTTCCAGCCCAGCTTTGAACCACACACTTGTACCCAGCCATGTTCCAGAAGTAACTGCAAAAGCCAACACTGGCTGGACTCTTGTGGACATGTGACCCACCTCCTGAACCTCTGGAACCTGAATTATCTCATCTGTGAAATGGTAGGAAGGGACCTCAGAGCCTCCCCCAGGGGCTGACTGGAGGGATACTCCCTGCCCCTCCCGGAGCCTCTACACTTAGGGTCTAGAGGCAGTTCCCCCACAGGTCCTACACGCCGTTTACCGCCCTGTTTCACGGAGGAGGCAAGGGCAGGCTAGCACCCAGTGACTATCACCCGGGATCACACAGAGGGTTGCCAGGAAAGTCCATGGCTCTCAGCCGTGTTTTAAGGTTTCGCTCTTGACCTTGGACAAGTCCCTGGTCTGGGTCACCTCAAGGGGATCACTGGCGGTAGAACTACACCTGCCCTTGCCCACACACACCCTCGAGGAAGAGAGTAGGACCACCTGCCCGACTCTCAGTCCCAGATGGGTTGCAGCCTGGGAGCAGAGGAGACGCCGGACTTCCCGCCGCGACCCCGCAGTCCCACATCCGTCCCGGCCCATGTCACCCTCCACCCGTAACCTAAGGCATCATCTGTTACCTTCCCGTCATGGTGGCCACGCGCCCAGCAGCCTAGCACCGATCCGCAATCCACTGACTGTGTCCCTGACAGAGGACTCACGGTCCGGCTGAGGGAGGAACACACCCAATCCGCCAGGGCGGCTCCGCCCAGCCGGCAGCCGGGATGAGGGGTGCAGGGGACAGACAGTCTCAAGGGGCACAGGGGATGCCGGTGCAAGCGCCAACCCTGGAGCCACTAGAGACTGACACTAGAGACACCCAACTTGAGTGGGTCCGTCACGTCCTCGCCAACCCGGACTCCGTTGCCACCTCCCGGATTCCGGGCATACTTTTCCTTTTAAAGGGAATGAAGTTATAATAAACATGCACGAGTTCGCACCCCACCCCACCCCCCCATTCACCCTCCCTCCCACCTCATCTGCCCTCCCCCACCCATGCCTTCCCCCACCCACATCCCGAGACACTTTTAAGGGATGTGGTAGGAAAGTAAAACCCAGAGAGTCCGTGCGCGCGCGCACTTCCTTGGAGTTCCCGCTGCTGCCCCAGGCAGCAGGAAAAACAGTCGGACTTAGGTCTCCCAGACACTTCTAGGCACCCACTGCCTGCCGGGGCACTAAGGGACTCCACTAATCTGTGCAGTCCCCTATCGAGAGGGCAAGGTCCAGAACATCTTTCTTGTATGGGGAGCTGAATTGCCCTTAAGACCCGACACCGGCGCTTTCCTGAGAAACGCAGTTTATTTGTTTGTTTGTTTATTTTTGACAAGGTTCTGTGTAATCCGTGCTGTCTTCAAACTCCCTTTTGTGTAGCCAAGAACGACCTGAGCTCCTGATCCTCTTCCCCCTGCCTCCCTCTGCTGGGATCACAGAAACACTCAGTTTACACATCGCTGAGGATGGAACCCGGGGCTTTGCGCATACTAAGTCAGCACGCCAGCCAAACAGTATTTCTTATTAAAATCAAACCAAGACTCCCGGTTATAGTAAAACACTGCTGATAAATCAAGGAGGATTATCTGCCCTAAAATGATCTGATGATATGAAAGCATTTAGGAAATCATTTTCTCATTTGCTGAGAGAAACCTGTTCTCACGGAGCTGACATCATCGGAGAGGAGGGTCTACAGTTGTTGTTATTATTATTATTACTTTTTGGCACGTGTCTTGGCCCTTTCTGTCAAGCTGTGATTTGAGGGTTGGTTAAATACTAAGTGTGAAAGATTCCGCGGTCCCTCTGCCCATGTCAGGAGAAATGTCTCCACAATTGTCAACACAGAGGAACAGGCATGCGAGGCTGAGCAGAAGTCGCCAGCTGAGTGGTTTAACCAAGCATAGAGGTCTCGCGAGAACCAAAGAGAATGACAGGTCAAAGGCAGGGGCTGGGAAGATGGTTCCTGGAACAAGCATGAGGACTGGGGTTCAAATCCCCACCACGGAAGAAGTTGGAGTCCAACCCCAGTGGTGTTGAGGGCAGGGGCAGGAGAACCGCTGGGGCTCACTGGCTGCCCCCGGAGCTCTGGGCTCCATGAGAGAGCCTCTATCAACGGAAAACAGTGGAGAGTGACTCAGTAGGACGCTCAAAGTCTTCCTCTGGCCTCTATGCCTTCACCTGCCCACCACCTCCCACTTAGCTTGCTCATACACCACACACACTCACACAGGGACGTTGTATGACTTGTGTGATTGTGGGCATGCAGGGATCTGCCTATGGATCTGGGATCATTTGTTCACCTGCTCTCGAAGGACATTGCTCAGTCCCACTAGAGACGCAGAGCATCCAAACAAGACCAGCCCCTACCACGGGGACACAGTGGACACCAGAGCATTCTGATTAGTGGCTACTGGGCACGTCCTGCAAGGAACGTGTGCTGCCTTGAGCCAGGAGGCAAAGGGGTCAGGCACTGTGTCTTCTGCAACTGTTAGAATTTGCTGGGGATATGGATGTGGATGTGGCCCTTGCTAGGCATGACAGGTGCCAGTGGGGCACTTGCATGGGTAAGTGTGGGAGGGGAGGTGGCTTCCTGGACAGTGGTGGGATGTAGCAGCTGGACAAGTGGGTGTGGGGACGTGTAGGCTGTGGGGATGTGGTTTGTGTTGGGAAGCAGGAGGGAGCAGGGGAGGGACTTAGAACTCTGCTACAGACGTGGGAAGCTTGATTCACGTACAAGTTCAACCTTGTATGTTCAGTGGGTCCCTGAGGATGTGGGTGTGAGCAGAGGACCTTCCATGAGAAGGGAAGGAGCAGCAGAAGAGGTCCGGGATGAATAGGGCAGGCCTGGTAAGAAGGAGTGGCTGAGAAGACATCTGGGTCAGTGAAGTTCTTTCCTTGTAATCGTGAGGCCGGAGCCCACTTTAAAAACAAACAAACAAACAAGCCAGGTCTGGTGGTATATGAGTTTGCAATCTGAACACAGGGGAAGCCTGGTGGCCTGCCAACCTAGCCTATTTGACGAGCTCTTGGGCAGTGAGAGATGTTGCCTTTGAACAACCAAGGCAGACAGCACCTTAGGAAGAACAGCTAAAGTTGACACTCTGGCCCCCACACGTACAAGCACACACATGCACCTGCATCCACACAAACACAGACAAAGAAAGCAATTCAGGGACGCTAGGGAAGCCAGCAGAAGAGCTCTAAGAGCTTGGGAACAGTGGCCCCCATCTCCAAGGACAGGGAGGGATCTGGGATTGGTAAAAGAAGGCCCATGGAAGTAGGGGTTCCACACACAGCCCTATCATAGAAGAAGAGGAACAGGCACCATAGAGAGAGGCTGAGCCCAGGAGGCCGTAGGGGTGTTATAACTGCCCTTTTCAGGAAGAGGAGAAACACACAGATCTGTGAGGTCACCGGGTGGGGAATGGTGTCACCTTGTGTTTGAGCTGAGGTTGGTAAGATGGAGGAACACTCAGACAGAGGCTTGAATCACGTATTGAGTTCTGTGACTTGGAGAGAGGAGCAGCAGGTGGGCTCTGAGAAGTCTGAGGTCAAGGACAGGACATAGATTGACACACAGTCTGCCCCAGAAGGAAATGGAGGTACAGAAGCTCGCCAGGAGCAGAGCTGGAGCTTAGAGCAGATGAGCCTCAGAGAAGACAGCAGATGCCCTGATTAACCCTCAGCAAGCATGTCTTCCCGCCAGGCCTGAGCCCCACACTCTTCAGGAACGGCCAAGAACTCAAGGATGAAGCAGGGTGTGGGGCTTCTTCTAGCCACCACGCCAGACCAATAAGATGAGGATGAAAAGATCTGAAGGTCTGCAAGTGCCTCAGATGGCTTCCTCCAGGCCCTATCTAGAACCAAAAACAAGTCCCACATGAAGAGGAGAATGAGGGTCTTGCAGCCCTTCCAAAGTATGGTGATTAATCTTGTCAATGGGATAAGATTTTAGAATAACCATGCAAAAAAGTCTCTGGGCATATCTGGGGTTACCTAACTTGGGTTAACTGAAGGAGGAGACTCTGAATGTACCATTCCATGGTTGAGTTTCCAGACCCAACTAGAAAGAGACAATGATAGCCAGCATGATGGTACCAGCAGGTAAAAGGCACCAGACAAGCTGAGTTCTGTCCCCAGAGTCCACGTGGCAGAAGAACTAGCTCCCACCGGTTGTCCCGACCTCCACAAGGGAGTCACGGCCTGTGCACACCCAAACACACGCACACACTGTGATGGCTAACCGTGGTTGTCAACTTGGCCACGGAATCGACTGAAACCTAAGTCTCTGGACTCGGCTCTGGAGAATCTTCTTGACTAGATCATTTGAGGTGGGAAGGCTCAGCCTTAATCTGGACTTATTGCTGAAGATCCGAAGACCCACCCTAAATCTGGGCCACACCTTCGGGTGGCAGAACACGTAAAAAGACACTAAGAAGGAAGCCTGCATTATTTTCCTTGTTTGCCCTTACGCTGGACCGCAAGTTCACCAGTCCTGTGCTTAGGCCTTCCTTTGCTGGCTTTAGGACCGACTTCTTCAGGACTCCAGCACAGCCTGGAGACCAGCTGAGACAGGCAGCCTCATGGACTGAACAACTACTGGGTTCTTGGCCTTTCTGTCAGGAGACAGCCATTGTTGGACTAGCCGAACAACAGTCTATAAACCACTCCAGTAAAAATCCTCTTAATATAGATTTATTCTGTCCTGCTCTTCCAGAGAACTCTGACTCATACACACATACACACAAATAAATAAATGAAGTAACTTTTTATAATAATAAAAAAAATAGCCGGGCGGTGGTGGCGCACGCCTTTAATCCCAGCACTCGGGAGGCAGAGCCAGGAGGATCTCTGTGAGTTTGAAGCCAGCCTGGGCTACCAAGTGAATCCCAGGAAAGGCGCAAAGCTACACAGAGAAACCCTGTCTCGAAAAACCAAAAAAATAAAAATAAAAAAATAAAAAAAATAATAGTAAGGTGGCTGAGTATAAGCTTTCATCTGCTTCCTGAATGTGGATCAAATGTGACCAGCAGCCACCTGCTGCTGATGCCGCCAGGCCTGTCCTGCCTTGATAGACTGTGTTTATTGGGACTCTGGGCCTAACAAATTTGTTTGACAGGTATTTTGTCTCTACAATGAAACAAGTAACTTGTCCACATAACCACTATGTGGCCCTGCAGAGGAGGCCGCGTGCCCTCCCCAGCCGACAGGAGGGTGTGGAGGGTAGTTATAGGCAGCCACAGGGATGTACCAGCTCCCTGAAGGCTGGTCTACCTAAGCTCTCCCCTCCCTCTAGGCTATGGCTGGCTTCTGTGAGGAGTCAGGAAGGGGGTAGGCAGTGAGGATAGAGGTAGGGGGGAGGAAATAACATTTCTACCTGGGAAGGACAATCTCATGTAACACTGGAAAGTGCTAAACCAACACCCATTAACCTGAAACACCTGGCACGCCAAAGCCATCCACTGGATAACGTCTCGTGTCTTTCTGACTATTTCAGTCAAACAATACCATCCGCTTGAGGGTGTTTTCTGTTGGAACTGAGGAAATGAAATGTGGGGAGAGGGCTCAGAGGGAGAAATGCTCTAGGGAGCCTCTAAGGACCAGCTCAGAGACCACTTGGCTCTGGGGACCCCACCCTTCCTGACCGCATGCTTTCTGCTTCAACACAAGTCCATTTTTACTCCTGAGTCTTTACTTTCTCTCTCCATGGACATTCAGTTCTCTTTTGCCCCCGGACGAATCTAGACACCTGGGCAGCTGGCCCATGGTACTGACACTCCCTTTATATTTCCTTCTCGGGACATCAGTGGGTAAAACTCTGAGCCACGGTGGGATAACCTAAATCTGTATGGCTGA